TTCTCAGGAGTACAGTCACAAGAGCAAACCCCAGTATCAAATGAAGACTGGACTCCTGCATCCTCCTGGGAATGGACACCAGTGTCTCAAATACCACCACTTTCCTCTGATGACCAGTGGTCAACTCCTTGGGCATCCAGTCTCCCTCTCAGTGAGATATCAATACAACTATGTTTTCCCCTGCTTATGGCAGTAGTCTCTGTATGTTGATGAACTGTCCTCAGGCCTCACTTAATACTTACAGTGGAAACCCCTTGTCTGCTAGTCAGGTATGTATATCTCAGAATTCATAGTGATAACGCTAAATAGCATTGAAGGTCCCCAGCCATAGCAGAGGGAAGGAGAGGTCTACAGATCAGGGTGAACAGGTAACAGCTCCAGACAAACACTGGATTCATCTGAACCTACCTCAGACTGAGTTCAGTGCCCCAAACAATAACCTACCCCAGTGGCCTTCAGCTTCCATCCCTTCTCAGCCTTGACAGCCAACATCCCACTCTTTTTCCACCTCTATGGATCCATTTACTGTTCTGTCTCAACCAGGACTGTCAGTCCAGCCCACTCCTCAAGACATACCTGGTCCCAATATTGGTAGTCCACAGTCACATGGCAGTGCATCCCTTGCACCTTTACTATCTTATTTCTCTGAGTCATTGAATTCTATGTTCACCTCATTTGAGCAGTTGCACACTTCATCCACCAGGATAATTATGGAAGGGATCTCTGCCATCCAGGAGGATTTGAAGGCTTCATGAATCGATGCAAACACATCTAGAGATGTTGAGATGCAAGACATAGATGAGTTTCCTTTGAAACAAACTAGGCATCCAAAGAAGCACTGCAACTTCATTCCTTCAGATCCTGCATCTGACATTCCTACCAAGAGCAATGTAGAAGAGCACAAAGACTTTTTCTGTAAGTGGGATTAGTGCTTGTGCTCTTCATTCATCGCTGATGATGTGACTTCCAAGACTCACATCTGGCTTCATGCCCTCCACTTGCTCAAAATTACTGACTACAAGTACCTGAACACTATCAAATGTGCACTCACCAGCGATGAGGTTGAAGCATATGAACAGGACATTCCTGGTTGCCCTGAGGTCATGCCAACTAATTTTATTGTAGACTGCCCATGGGAAAGACATGCCATATAATCACAAGGCCTTTACAGTCTTCACTGAAGATTTCCTGGATAAGGTCAATAACCATGGCTGGTATGCCTCACAGACAATCCCTGAACAGTACTGCAATTTTGACATCATCTATGGGGCTTTTAAGGCCCATTTTACTTACATCAAGTCACATTACAATGAGGTCATCATCGCTGCAAGTAAGGATCCAGTGAAAGCCAAGGAGGACATGAAGGCAAGATTGCATAAATCTTCATGTACTTCAAGGAAAGTTCAGGTAAGTACACCCTATGTCATTAATTGCCCTCTCTCACATTGATTTGAGTTGCTAAAAATGCACCTGGATAATATGGCAGAGTGTCCTAAGCTGCAGAAGCACTTACCACTAGTCAATTACCTTGGGACTCAGGGTATAAGCTCTGATGAGTCCAAAGACAAAACAAGGAGGATGATTAGTTATCCACATGTGTATCCTCACTGGTGCAGCCAGCAGCTTTCTGCACTCATGTGGGAAGCAGATTTAGCAATACTGGAATTCCTTTCTGTCATGATTGGAAGGCATAAGAAAGCAGGCACACAACTCCAGAATTGCCCTCATTCTGAAAAGTTCAACAATGCTGCTGCTGCCCCTCCTGGGCTTCCTGTGCATTGCTATGATGCTACCTGGCTGTCCTTGCTACATCCACACTCAAAGAAACAGCTCAGAGTGCAGGAGGAGGAGTATGACTTTGCCCCTGGCTGTGCAGGCAGATATACTGGTATGGTAAATTGTCAATGTCCTTATGGCCATTGAGCTTATGTCATGTCCAGTTAACACTACAGGATCTTCTGTACTGCTTGGGGCAGCTGGTGCTAACTGAACATATGACAAGTGGGGCCTTTACTTCCCCCTGCTTCCCACTGTCATTCCTCACCCCTCACTGTTGACATTATATGTACTTCCAATCTCCAACTAACCTAGATTTACTTGATTTGACAATGTAATACCAAATCTGAACATGTCTGCTATACTTCTAAATCTTTATGCTGCAGGCTAGTGACTTTGGAGAGTTTTTGTGATATGCAAGATTGCCACATGAAGGCTCATGAAGTAATATTGGTAGATAGGATCACAGTATGAGTTTTCTCTGAGTAGTAAGCCCCTGCTAAAGCCATGTATAATAACCTCATGTGCCTCTAAACATGCAATGTTGTACTAAGCCCACCTGATCACCCAAACAAGCTGACCATAGTGGGATGGGTTTAGACAGGTCACAGCACCCACATCAGTCATTATCTGTTGTCTTGTTCCTCGTCTTTACCTTTGCTTTGTCACTTCCAACCTTGTTTTTGAGGTACATCCTTGCAAAATCTCTTGCAGGCCATGAGTCTTGATAGTGGGTAAGGATGGGAAATTGCTCCTGGGCCTAAAATCATATGGAAAGAAAGCATGCAATGCACTGTGCAATTCACTTACTGCCTCAAAGAAGGCTGAGAGTGATTCTGGCCACTGAAGGTGATATGGAGAATTCATATCCATTTTCTTTTTGCACATGAGATGCAGCCCTTTCTAGGGAGGTGAATGTCATATTGGTGCTCAAGATTTGATAGTAGAATTTTGAGTAACTGAATGGAGTCATACATGTCATCCCCCCATGCCAGGACTTCTTGCAAAGCATATCCACTGCTGTTTGGCTTTGAGAGCGAGCCACACAGTGGAGGAATAAGATTGTTGCCACACTCTGTCTTCTCCACTGGCAGTTGGCTCTGAATCACATGCTCAGATTCAAAATCAAATACCTTGTGAGCAGTGATTTCAGAGCTACTTGGGCTGGGACTACACTCCTTTCCAAACACTTTCCTGAGGGTTATTGGTGGGAAGTACAGTTGGTAGTCCATGGAAGAACAAAGGTTGGAGAAATTTGCAAATCATCACCACTATGTCCCATACTGACAGTTTCCTCTTATTCATGAGATTATAAGAATTACAGAGGTGCCTAAAATGGTACAAAATCACAAAGATTGGGGACTAGTATGAGGATATGCAAGGAGAGGTGATAAAGCAGATGATGATGCAGCACATGTGTCCATCACATCGCCTTGGGCCAAGTCCTGATGAAATGTGGTCCAATTTAAAACCATGCCAGAGTGAAGTGAACCAGCTACCAAGCTGGCCATGCTGCAAGCACACTGCAGAGAAGCCCTAAGTGCAAGTCAGAAGATAGTACTGTATAACTTGTGATCACAGTGAACAGAAGATGAGACATCCTGGATATGATGCAGCCAGACAGAATGGCAGATGGAATTTGAGATCTAGTTCATAATTTTAGCATCACTTACTGCAGGAAAAAAATGTGACATGGTGAGCTTACCTTGGGCCAGAAAAGACCTGCTTGCAATATGAAAATTTTTGAAGGGTGTTTGTGGAGGTGATACTTTAGGAACCTAAGAGTGCAAACTCAGTCTTCAAGTCAGGATGAAGTCTATGTTCTATTAACCAACCTAAGAGTGTAAACTACCCAAAGGATAAGTGGAAATAGGCTATAGTAGAGTAGGAACTACATTACCTCAGTCTTTGAGTCAGGATGAAGTCTGAGGCATAAGAAAAAAGAAGTGGTGGACGAGTATGGTAACATTATGTAAGCAGGTCTCACTGTACTCAGAAGCACAAAGTTCCAACATGCCCCCCTCAGCAAGTTTCTCATTGAAAAATAAACCATACCATGTGACCAACCCTTGTGTAGTCAATAATACAGGCATGAATTTGGGGCAGCAACGACTCTGTGGTGTTGCATCTATGCAGGCAAGTGCTGTACAGGGTACCTCAGATGTTTGTTGTTGCATGTGCATGATTTGTAAGCAGTCCGTTGTTTATCATTGTGACATGACACCACAGCCTCGTGATGGGCTTGTTTTCCTCCTACCCCTGTCACCACGCCCCCTCCACTTGCATCGTCTCTCATTCCATGACCATGGGTCCATAATGTCACTCTGACACTGTTTCTTTCAGGATTGCAGTCATTTTGGCTGAGATAGAGAGACTTTGCTGCTTGGGTGCCAGTTTTGACAGATAGGGTGTTTGCAGGTGAGAGCTCAGTCATCTTGGTCGTCATATCCATTCTCTGGATTCGGAGTGGGTGCAAGAACATTCTGATGGACTGGTAGGTGAGTCTGGGACCACCATTTGTTCAAATTTTGAGGCGAGAGCCTCAAAATGTGCTGAGCACTTCTCAGGCTTGTTGGATGGCATCAAAGGCCAATCATAATTGACAAGTGGCTCGTTTGGGTGGTATTGGACATTCCTGTGTCTGCCCTCAATGTTTTGAGTGCCCAATTTGAGATCTGAGCTTGTTTGGTCCATTTCTGTGTGCATGCTGCCTGCATCTGCAGCTGCAGGGGTAACTGGTGAGTGTGCAGGTGTTGGCTCTGCTTCACTGGTCATATCCTGAGTGTTCACAGGTGGTGCACTTGCCATCACTTGTACAGGGTCTGTAGTATTGCTTTTTGGGACTCGGATACTGGGCGCTAGGGTCAAAGTGTCCTGGTTTTGACTGTACACACATTTGAATGTTGGATTTGGAATCTGCACTATGACCTGAGGGAAAGGCCAGACCAGGGATCAAACCTGGGCTCTCCCAATAGTGCTGGGGGTGTGCTACCACTACACCACCCAGCATTTCCCTCAGGTCATAGTGCAGATTCCAAATCCAACACTCCCCCTGAATCTGCACTTCACTCACCTCTCCACTAGCATGGCACCAACCATCTAGTCCTGAGGTGTTCCTCATGCAATCCAGTCCAGGAGACCACCACTAAGATGTTTATTATGTTGAAAAGTCACAACCAGCCCGTCGGTTGACAGTTGTTCACAATAATAAACAGCTTAAATAATGGCCAGACCAGGGATCAAACCTGGGCTCTCCCAATAGTGCTGGGGGTGTGCTACCACTACACCACCTGGCCTTTCCCTCAGGTCATAGTGCAGATTCCAAATCCAACATTGAATGCATGTGAAGTCCTCATTAATGTGACCTGTGTGTCCTTGAGTGACATGGCAGCAGTAAGGAGTTGAGGTTTGGATGTAGGTATGTGTGCAGAGTGTGTGATCATTTGCAAGCAGATCACTGACCATGTTTCTCCAGTAACAACCTTGTTTGGTGCTTGATCAATTGTTGAATTGTATTGTAGATGGTTTCAGGTTTGAGCTGTGTGTGTTATGTTGTGCCCCCAGAGCTTGTCAGGTGGAGCATACATGCAGGTGGTGTGTTTGGCTATGTTGCTTTGCATTCTTGCCTCAGGCTTCTTGTAGTGGTTCCCCTTGTATGCAAGGTGGGTGTTTGACTCTGTTGAACCATATTCACCTCTGCCTTTGGTAATGAGGATCTTAGGACCTTCACTGGCACTGATTTCAGCCTGGGAGAAAACTTGTTCTGTTGGGCCAGGCCTCTTGTTGTTTAGCCAGTGGTGCATCCATGGTGCTGCTTGCAGGTTTTTGCTCATAGCTGAGTAGGGCTGACTGAGCACATGGGAGTCATCAGAATAGGATGTAGACAGGTTTGTCTCATTTGGTGGTCTCCCTTCATAATTTGGTTGGTGCACTAAGCTTGAACATTGTATGTGGGCTGTGAGAGGGCTATATGATGTGTGCATGGCAGGCTGTTGAGTGTGTGTTCTGGTGGCAAGCTTGTACAGAGTGTCATGCTGATAAGTGACTCTGACAGTTGTCTGTCCAGCAGTTAAACTGCACTTGTTCCATTTGAAGGTGGTCATTATTCCTTGGCTGGCAAGGCACACAATTGAGAGCAGATTTGAGGTGAGGTTTGGCACATACATAGTAGACATCATGTAGGATGACAGGGCCTTCTCCCTCATTCCCCAGTTCTGTATTGAGAACAATTTGGCCAACTCCAACTGTGTACACAGTGTTTCCATTTCCAACTGTGATTGGCTGTGTAGGTACAAGCCATTTGTATGAGGTGAACCAACTGTGTTGACAGCACATGTGTGCAGAGGCTCCAGAGTCTAGTATCCAGTGCATGTAAGGGATGTTGCTGTGTGTATTGGCTACGAAGAGGTGAAGTGGCATGTTGTGTGTGGAGGATATGTGAGCGAAGTTTGCTGAGTGTTCATCTTTCTCCTTATCTCCTGATTTTCCCTTGTGTTCATATGTTGTGTTAGTTCCAGCCTTGTCAGCTTTCTTCTTATGACATTCATCTTCACCATGTCCCTTCTTTTTACAGTACCCACATTTCAATTTTCTCTTGTCATCTTTTGCATTTGACTTTGGATGTGCAGATGTGTATGTGACAAGTGCACTTTGCCCACCTGAGGCAAGCTGTCACAACTTCTCCTCAATTAGCACTTGTGATATCACGGAGTCAATGGAAAGCTTGTCATTTGAGGACATCAAAATGGTGTGGAGTGTTGCATAGGAGGGTGGTAAGGAGATTACCATGGCTATTGCCACAAGGGAGTCATTGAGGGATTGACCAAGTGACTTTAGTATGCATGCTTTTTGCCACATAGCATTTAGCTGGTTTTGCATTGGACTGTCCTCTGAGAGTGTCCCACAGAAGAGCTCACCTATGAGATAGGCTATGGTCTGCTTGCCATGCCCTTCATACCACTGACATAACTTTTTCCAGATTTCTGCTGCTGTTGGTACATGTAGAACTCCTGTTAAGGGTTTGTCCTTCAGAGTCAGAATGATTTGGGCATGTGCTTCCTTGTCTCTGATCATCCAGTTGGCATGGCTGATGGGGTCAGTTTTTGGGTCTGGCGCAGTAGTCATGTTTCCTCTGATGACCTCCCACAGATCTCATATGTTGAGAATCATACAGATCCTGACCTTCCATGTCTGGAAGTTTGAGCTGTTGTCTTCTAGTGATGGGATGTCATAGAGGTGACTTGAGGCCTGTTTTGCTTTCACTGATGAGACAGTAGAGGGTGTGGAAGTGGGCACTGTAGAAGCTGGTGGGTTGGACATCTCTGTTGGCTTAGACTATAACTGGTGTACTCTTGGTTTTTTAGTTATGCACAAGTGGGGCTCATAACCTTTTGAAGGGTGTTTGTGGAGGTGATACTTTATGAACCTAAGAGTGCAAACTCAGTCTTCAAGTCAGGATGAAGTCTATGTTCTATTAACCAACCTAAGAGTGTAAACTACCCAAAGGATAAGTGGAAATAGGCTATAGTAGAGTAGGAACTACATTACCTCAGTCCTAAATGTCTGTCTGGAGATGAAGTTCCAACACACCCCCTCAGCGTGACACCAGTGACAGACCTGTGCGATGAACCTGGAAGGGTGAACAAGTGAGAGACTTGGTGAGAAGGTTGGCGACATTCTGATGAGTCAGGATCCACTTGGGTGTGAACACCCCCTTGCTGATGTGCCCACGAAGAAAGTGATAGCGTACATCCACATGCTTAGTGCAAGAATGATTTAGCAGGTTGGAGGATAGTGATATCACTCCTGTATTGTCTGCATATACAATAAACAGAAGAGTGACCTGCTGATTTAAGGAGTTGAATGCCAAGCATATCCAGAGTCCCTCCTGAACATAGGCCGCAAGTGCCATGTACTTGGCTTCAGTGGATGACAGTGCCAGCATTTGTTGTTTCTTGGAAACATGCACTATTGGGCCCCTGTAGAAGAACCAAACATAATCCATGACCGAAACTCGATCCACTGGGCACGTTGCCCAGTCTGAATCAGTGAAGGTGTGTACATCGTGGTTGATGTTTGGGTTTCCATATCGAATGTGCAGAGACTTTGTCCCTTTCAGGTAACATAGCAGCCATTTTGCTGCAGCATAGTGACATGGTTCCATGTGTGTGCACTGCTGAGCTAGTTGCTGAATGGCCTGTGCTATGTCGGGCTGGCTGCATGTAGCCAGATAGGTCAACTCTCCAACCACTTTCCTGTACATGTGCACTAAGTTTGGAATGTCTGGGTACACATTGCTATCTTGTCCGAAGGGATGATTAGGGTCCATTGGAAGTGATGCTGGATTGGCATCTCCGAGCCCATACTCCTCGCAGATGTGATCAATGTAGGACTCCTGGTGAATCCAAACCTCCCATGTCTCTTGCCTCCTCTCGATTTCGATTCCAAGGTACAAGGAAATGGGCCCGAGGTCACTGATGCCAAAGCGCTCCCCAATTTTTCCTTTCACCCAGTCCAGAAAGTACCTGTTATTCGAACCCCCAAGACCATCATCAACATGCCAGACAATTATGCAAATTACCCTTCATCCATCCTCTCCAATCTTGTCCAAAACGAAAATGGCCAGATCCATGTCAGAGTGAGTGAAACCGAGCTCACAGAGGAGCTTGCACAGTGTGGTGTACCAGTCGAACACAGCCTGCTTAAGTCCATACAGCGACCACAGGAGCAGACACACCAGGAGCACCCCTGCATTACCGTACTGTTTGAACCCCCCTCGGTTGTTTCATATAGATTTCCTCTGTAAGTTTACCATGGAGAAAGGCTCTCTTGGCATCGAAGCAGTCGAGTTCCCAGTCGTTCTTTGCTGTGAGTGCTATGAGCAGTTTTATGGAACTTTGTCTGGTGACTGGAGCATAGGTTTGATGAAAATCGACTCCTGGTACCTGTGAGAAGCCCTGTGCAACAAGCTGTGCCTTGAACCTTGAACCCCCCTTTAGGTCCACCAGCTTAAACTCGAATACCCATCGATTTCTGTAATGAATCATGGCTCGTAATGCCTCGGAATATACCACCTCACTTCACCTCGGAATTTACTTAGTCTACTCTCCTGTCAAATCTTTCTTTCTTTCTCTTTGTTTTCTCTTTTTAGTTACTCATTTGTCTCCCACTACACTCTGAATGTATATAAACCCTTAGTACTTGATGTATTCACCCCAGTTGTTCTCAAACAGAGACCTTGGACAGTTCTATCACAAGCCCTCTAAGCCTCACTCTGCTGAGAATCAACTACTGTGTGGCCAAAAACTACCCATTCTGTCACATATTTTGAACTGCCTTTAACCTCTCTACTTACTCTCTAAACCGAACCCGACTTTGACATTGCCTGCTCATTACTGGCTTGATCACCCGGTGCATAGTTGCTTCGCCAAACCTGTTACTGATGTCTTCTTCTCCATTCAACCCCAAAGCAATTAACAAAGAGATATGGTGCCATTTCTGGTCCTTCAAGCCAGAACAAGGCAGCCCTATCTGATTTGGTGGGATTACTGGAATCGACCATGATGTAGACACACCTACCGAGTCAGTTGACCCACCTGCTCATGAACCTTCTGGATCCGTTAGGACACAGGGCAATGCCCTAAAAGGCCACACCGACCTTGGAAACTCTGAGGAAAGCATGAACGATGTGCTGAGAGATGCTGTCAAGCAGCTGGTCCACGAGCTCAGGAGCACGCCACATGGCTGTGCCCCAGACCCCCCAGTATTGACTGGAGAGGATGTTGATGTGCATGCAGGAACAGGCTTGGGCTTCGAGAAGCCATGCTCATCCGCAAGAAGTACTGTATCAATAATAAGAACATCAGTACTACTAGACCAGAATCGCTGGCCTGCATGGATGCACGATGAACCTGAAATAGATCAGAAGTCTGAGGATAGGAATAATTCCAGCCCTAAGCTACTATGGTCAGACCTAGTACAGAATGAGGAAGAGTTATGGAACTCTGTCCCACAGTGGTATGGAATACCTAGTGTGAATATCCCCAAGAAAGATAAGACTTTGAGTAAACCAGCTTCAGAAAGAAGCACACTGAGACTTACCAAAGACATGAAGGAAAAGTGGAAGGCCCCCACTCCTATTGAAGTTGCGAAAGAATTACCTATCAATGAAAATGTTCCAGAAATAGTGGAACAAACCGAACATATGATTAACAAACTGAAAGACACTGGCCTGGTCGAGCAGCTTGACAGGGCTGTAGTGGTGATCTGCCAGCAACAGGCCATAATCGAGTCCTTG